AATTCAATGTTTGTTTGTTTGTTTTTAATCTCTGATTGGTGTTGTTATGAGAGAATTTAATTCATTGGTTTTTTGTTTTGTTTTGTTTTGTTTTTTAGCCTTTTGCATGTCCGCAGAGAACATATAATCCACTGCAAATCTATATTTAGGATACAAGAGAATTGTAGAAGTATACATTGGAAGCTCAATATATTTGGAGCAATTGAGAAAACTATTGGTCTCTAGTTAATATTTAATTTATTCTGTTTAGAATTTGAGGGGTTCACGGTTTCCTTGTTTCTTTCTCCAAACTTAGGATCCTCCTGTTGTTTATACCACCTGTTGACCATTTCTTTTCTTTATCTGAACTCTGACTTCTAATGGATATTAAGAAGAAGCCAAAAATTAGCATTACACAAACCATCTAGTGTCCCTAAAAAAATACACTGAAACTTTCGGCATTTGTTTTGATGCCGTTGTTACTGCCCATGATAATTGTGTCTCTTGTTTTCCTGGCCAAATAGCATGAATATGGGGACATGAAAAGTAATATAGGGACGCCTGGGTGGCTCAGTCGGTTAAGCATCTGCCTTCAGCTCAGGTCATGATCTCAGGGTCCTTGGGATTGAGTCCTGCATTGGGCTCCCTGCTCAGCTGGGAATCTGCTTCTCCCTCTCCTTCCTGTTCATGCTCTCTCTCGCTATCTCTGTCTCTCTCAAATAAATAAATAAATAAATAAATAAATAAATAAATAAATATTTTTTTAAAAAGTAATATAGGAGTATTGAAGCCAACAAATACACTGGGAATTAAATGCTGGGATGGTACAAGAGAGACACCTTAACATTTTTGCTATCATAAAAGCAGATTGGGTGACAGGTTAGAGTGAGTTATTGGTATATACCTGTGAGAAATAGAAAAAAAAAAAAGTAGGAGACAAGTACAGGGTCAGAGTTGTAACATCATCTTCTGTTCGAGTTTCTACATGAACTCTACCTTTATGACCATAACTCACTCTTTGGAGGAAAACTGCGCAGATTCTGAATGATATACTCCATTTTCTTTATTCCTTTTAAGAAAACTACTTCTCACCATGCAATTCATCTTAATTCCCCACAGAGAATTTACCTTCAGTGTAGTTGAGAGCAAAGGGGAATTGAGTTTACTGCCAGTCTCCGGCCTGCCCTGATTTATTAGGGCACTGCCTTTGTTAACGGCCCCCCTAAAAAGGGTTGAGAGTGATCTCTGGAGACCTTTAACCTCAGTCCTGTAGCTCTGAGCATCTCTGTAAAGTACACACGACTCCTAAAAGAGCCACATGTTCTGGTTAGAAAACTGTAGACAACCTTGAGTAGTGCATGAGATTCATGTGGACTTTTCTGGGGACTAGAGCATTCCCTTGATCCCTCAGGGTTTCAGATTTGAACTCTTGGAAGGGGCCTAAAAGTTAGGATTCAGTTTAAATCTTAAACATTAGGATATTCAAAGTCTTTTTTTTTAAATATTTATTTATTTGACAGAGAGAGACACAGCGAAGAGGGAACACAGCAGGGGGAGTGGGAGAGGGAGAAGCAGGCTTCCCGCTGAGCAGGGAGCCCGATGCGGGGCTCGATCCCAGGACCCTGGGATCATGACCTGAGCCGAAGGCAGATGCTTAATGACTGAGCCACACAGACGCCCCTCAAAGTAATTTCTTATACAGGGCTTACTTTTTACAATTTTGTTTATTTTACTTAATTGAAGTGTAGCTGACACACAACGTGACGTTCGTGTCAGGTGTACAACCTGGCAGTTGCCCAACTGTCGGTGTGCTTGTGGGGCTCACTGTGCCTGCAGGTGCTGTCTGTCACCACACAGCACTGCTACGGTGTCACTGACTACTCTCTTGGGTCTACCCTTTATCCTTGTGACTTACTCATTCCATAACTGGAAGTCCGTACCGCCCACTCCCCTTCACTCCCTTTTGCCCCCACCCCCCACAACCATTACTTTATCCTCCATATTTATTGGTCTGTTTCTGCTTTTTTGGTTTAGATTCTACATTTAAGTGAAATCATACAGCATTTGTCTTTCTCTCTGACTCATTTCACTTAGCAAAGCATCCTATAGTTCCATCCACGTGGTCACAAATGGCAAGATCTCATTTTCTTTATGGCCGAGTAATATTCCACTGTGTGTATATAACCACATCTTCTTTATCCGTTCATCTGTCAGTGGATACAGGCTGTTTTCATGTCTTGTGTATTGTAAATAATGCTGCAATAAACATAAGGGTGCATGTATATTTTCTAACTAGTGTTTTTGTTTTCTTTGGGTAGATACCCAGTGGTGGAATTATTAGATGATATGGTATTTCTATTTTTAATTTTTTGGGAAGCCTCCATCCTGTTTTCCACAGTGGCCACACCAGCTTGCATTCCCACCAACACTGCACAAGAGTTCCCCTTTCTTCACATCCTTGCCAACACATGTTGTTTCTTGTGTTGTTGATTTTAGCCATTCTGACAGGTGTGAGGTGATATCTCATTGTGGTTTTGATTTGTATTTCCCTGACGATAAATGATACTGAGCATTTTTCCGTGTGTCTGGTGGTCACTCTATGTGTTCTTTGAAAAAATGTCTGTTCATGTCTTCAGCCCATTTTGTATTGGATTATTTTTGTTATTGACATTGAGTCATAGAAGTTCTTTATATATTTTGGATACTAACCCTTTATCAGAGATATCATTTGCAAATATCTTCTCCCATTTAGTAGGTTGTCTTTTCATTTTGTTGATAGGTTTCTTTGCTGTGCAAAACCTTTTTATTTTGGTGTAGTCCTGATGGTGTGTTTTTGCTTTTGTTTCCCTTGCCTCTGGACTCATATCTAGAAAAATGTTGTTACAGCCAGTGTCAGAGAGATTAATGCCTGTGCTCCTTTCTGTGATTTTTATGGGTTCAGGTGTCACATTCAGGTCTTTAAGTCATGTTGGTTTATTTTTGGATATGGTGTAAGAGAATAGTCCAGTTTCATTATTTTGCATGTGGCTGTCCAGTTTTCCCAACACCATTTGTTGAAGAGACTGTATTTCCCCCATTGTATATTCTTGCCTCCTTTGTCAAAGACTAATTGACCACATAAGTGTGGGTTTATTTCTGGGCTCTCTATTCTGCTCCATTGCTCCTGTGTTTGTTTTTGTGTCAATACCACATGGTTTTGATTCCTACAGCTTTGTAGTATTTCTTGAAATCTGCCTCCAGCTTTGTTCTCCTTTCTCAAGGTTGCTTTGGCTATTCAGGGTCTTTTGTGGTTCCATACAAATTTTAGTATTATTTGTTCTGTGAAAAATGCTGCTGGTATTTTGTTAGGGATTGAAATGCATAGCCCATATAGGACTTTGTTTTGATTTGTACATTTAAAAAAAACACATTATAGCAATAGGCATTCAAAAATAATGATGATAATGACAAATATGTTTGTATCAACTTTTAAGTTTACAAAGTACTTCTGTGAGTTGTTTTCCCAGTTTTTAAAACAGCCTTTTTAATAGATTTTCTATTTCTTATTCTGTTTGACAAGCCACTAGCTGAGAATTATAGAGGATAAATAACCTTGCCCAATTATACAGCTAGAAAGTTTTAAAAACAGAATTTTTTTTAAAGATTTTATTTATTTATTTGTGAGAGAGAATGAGAGACAGAGAGCACGAGAGGGAGGAGGTTCAGAGGGAGAAGCAGACTCCCCGCTGAGCAGGGAGCCCGATGCGGGACTCAATCCCGGGACTCCAGGATCATGACCTGAGCCGAAGGCAGTCGCTTAACCGACTGAGCCACCCAGGTGCCCTAAAAACAGAATTTAATACTCTGATTCACTACTTCATTCTGCATAGTTTATTGAGCTTCTAAGGGTACACAAAGCTCTGTGTTAAGTACTCAGGTGTGAGTGGGGAAAAAAAAGCGGGAATGAAGGGAGGAATAAAAGAAGGGTAAAGAAAATAGGAAGGAAGGAAAGAAAGGTAATCTGTTTTTGAAACTCTCTAAAGCTCTTACTTTATCTTATTGAAATGTTTCTCAATAGTTTGTGTAAATTAGCTTTCATATACTTATCAATTTATTCTTCCAAGTAAATTATTGATTTATTCAACAATTGTTGAATAAAGTCTTCATAGAGAAGATTACAGCTGAATTTACTCTCGGGGAGCTTGATCTATTAAGATACTAGATATGTAGATAGAGATCACAGAATCATTGAAAATTGGTGCAGAATTCTATCAGGAAACAGGGCTACAAACTCGAGGACAGTGCAGAATACACAGGTTTGCTCTAGTCTGGAGTAGGGTGAACGAGGAAGGGAAGTCTTTATGAAGGAGTGGTCCTTGAGCCGAGATTCGGAGGCAAGGAAGGAATTAGGTGAAGAGCAGAGATGGGGAGGGGGATGTGCACTCGGAAGAAGAGACCCCATGTGCAGTGGCTCAGAGTGTATAGAGAGCCTGGTGTTTAAATGACACAGAAATCAAGCAGTGTGGCCCAACACCGGGGAGTGAGGGGCCTCATAGGTAGTCATGTTAAGGATCTTGGTCTGGGCCATAAGAATGAGAGGTAGCCACTGATAGTTTAAACAGGGGTGTTAAATGACTGGGTTTGAATTTTTAATGATCGCTCTTCTTGAAGACTGGAGAACAGAGTCCATACTAGTCGACATGTACATAATCTTTATAAAGCTGTTTCATCAGTTCACGTGAGAAATGATGGCTGCATGGACAGGGGTACTCGCTGCTGAATAATTTTCATAAATATTTGAGAGGGAAAAGCATATTGGTAAAGTTTTAGAAATAAGAAGTACAGGGGAGAAAAGTATCAGAAATGAATCTGAGATCTCAATCCTATGTCATTGAACAGATAGACATGATTGAGAGAATATTCTGGAACAGGATCCTTGTCTTTTTGTGTCATTCAGTGGAATAGGGAGTGGAGAAATGATCATGAGTTTTATTTCATACATGTTTTTATGGACTTTGAAAAATCTAAGTTCCAGGTTTCACATGTGTGGATTTGATTCACAGAGACGAGAACTGACGTGGAGACACGTGCATGGTGGTCACATCCACAGTGGCCGTAGTACTGGGCGTGGGTGAGTTTCCTGGGAAACAATTAAAGGACCAGGAATAAGATTTCAGTTAATCAGGTGCCTGGGTGGCTCAGTCGGTTAAGCATCTGCCGTCGGCTCAGGTCATGATCTCAGGGTCCTGGGATGGAGTCTTACATCCGGCTCCATGCTCAACAGGGAGTCTGCATCTCCCTCTGCCTGTGTGCTCTCTCTCTCTCTCAAATAAATAAATAAAATTAAATTAAAAAAAAAAAACCTTTACAAAGCCAAAAATACACTTACTATATGATCCAGAGATTATACTCCTAAGTATTTGGCCAAATGAGTTATCCAGGGGCCCCTGGGTGGCTCAGTTGGTTAAGCATCTGCCTTTGGCTCATGTCATGATCTTAGGGTCCTGGGATCGAGTCCCACCTCGGGCTCCCTGCTCAGCCAGGAGTCTGCTTCTCCCTCTGTTCCTCCCCACTGCTTGTGCATCACTCTCTCTCTCAAATAAATAAAATCTTTTTAAAAAAAGATTTCACTTAATAAAAGAATAGGATGAACTTGCTGAGGAAAATGAATAGTAGGGCTCAGAGACACAGGAAGGAAAAAAAATTTGTAGTGTCTGAAAAGGTGAGAGTTTCATGAGAAAGCAAGTAAGTGTGTTGTCAGAAATACAGTGCTCAGGGGTGATAGGATGGGGAAAAACCCAAAGACCATTACATGGAGTTGTGTGGATGTCATAAAAGAGCTTCGGAAGCATTGCTTTGATGGAATTATGGGGGGATTGCGTAGAACAAAGCAAGGGCAAGGCTGGGAAGGCAGGGCAGGTGGCACATGGAATTCTTCCCTCCTGATGTTGTTAGTCCCCTCTCCGAGCCCCTCACTAAACATAACCTCTGCATCTGTGAATTACTAGGCATCAAAAAGGAGACTCTGTTGGAGGTGGAGAAAACAAAAACGTTGGAGAAAATAATTAATGTTTAGTATGTATTTAGTAGTCCAATAGCATTATACCAACTCAGTTATTCCTATACTAGATTATTAATAAGTTACAGTATTAGGGTCTTTTTTTTTCCCCTTCAGTATCTTCTTGAACATCTGGCTGCAGCCTATTATGGATAAGTTAACTTGTGAAAATCCATTATGCACTTCAAAATTAGTTCCATAATTGTATTATCACTATGAAAGAATTGGCTATATTTCAGCATAAAATATAAATGGATCTGACTTTTCTCATTAATACTTGATGGTACATAGTTTAATATTGAATTGAAGCAGAACCCTGAGGTGGTTGTGAAAAGGACAATTTATAAATGTGAATTTAACCAGGGACTGATAAAATAAATCTTAGTTTTAGTTATTCTAGGTGAATGTGGCTTACTAGACTCTATCTACTTATAAAGCATATTCAATTAAAAGTAGAACATCTTTATTACTGTGATGGAGAAATAATCAACATCTCCCTGTTTAATGTTGTTCAACAAATGTGGCTTATGGAGAATCAGCAATATCCTATCTTTTTTGCACATGTTCTAGCCTCTCTCTTTGTAAATAATTGACGGATGTTGAGATATATTCTTGAATCCTCATTTCTTTCAAAGGGGGGGGGGTTGATTGGCTTTATCCGTGTCATGAAATTTCAACATTATCAAATGGGCTACCTCTGTTAGTTCGTTTCACTTTGCTTATCTTTTATAGCAAATGGATTCTATTGGTTGTCTTTGTTCTGAGAAGATAAATGTCTACCAATAAACTATCTTGCTTATTTTATGTGGAACCATAACAGGCTGTTGTATATTTATTGTGCTTGATTTTTTAGAGAACAGAACTTAAAAAGCACCTAACAAATAACACCATCTCTTCCTAACTAAACAGTGGGTTTATTGTAGAAATTCAAAACTGTGGTTTTAAAAAGGAAGAAAAGTAGCTGCTTGCCATTTTATTTTAATAAGCCTAAGAGGCCTTGAGAATCAGGCGTGGTTATTCATGGGCTCTGTCCTTACTCGCTTCCCATGGCTATCAATCTGCAAGCTAGGAGAAATGATGCCTCATCCAACTGATGTTTTGTGAATTGCTTTTTTCCCCCCCATTTAACCCCATTTCTAGTATGGGAGAAGAAAGACTTGTTATATAATTTCTGAGATCCAGTACAAAATGACAGGTTAGGACCTCTTGATCAAAAATTCTGAAGAATTTCAGGGCAGCAACAGCAGAGGATTAAACCAAGCGTGGTCCCCTTCTAAGTGCAGATCCTGGGCAACTGCACAGTTTGCCAATGAAATCAGCCTGATAATGAGACATCTGAACAGTCCTGAGAAATCTAAGCCGGGATCTCAAAGTCCATTCCAAAGGAAATTGAATACAAAGCTTCCATATGTATCTCTTACAACACAGTCCTCTCCAAAAGAAGTTCACCATTCTTATCCTCGCCAAACTTTTCTGAATTTAGACATCTATATGATTTCCATGCGCATCTACTACATACATTCTTCCCCCAAGAGCTCCTCTTGACATTGCATATCCATCAGATGATCTGTGGACCATCTGCTGATGAAACTCACTATTTTCAGAATATATTTTGTAGCTCCTTTTGAAGTAAGGCTCCCTTTCTGTGTTTTAGGGCCTTTTGTTTTAAAAATCAAGTAAGATGTTCACTATTTACTCCTTTGGGGCTTCGAAACCTAGACTTGCCCAAACTGTCTTTCATGAATATTTTATCAAAACCTGTAGCCCACATCAGGTAGATGCTGGGAGTTTAACACTGCAGACTAAAATGAAGTTTGAGCATAAAAATGAAGTGTTAAATGGAGTATAAAATTGCAGCGGCCTGTTTTGGAGTGTGGGTTTGCCTCGGGCTCCGAGCCACTATCAGGAGAGCTCAGACTCTGAGTTCTTCTCAGGTGGACAGGAATTGCAGACTCATGTCTGAGAAATCTTAAAGTGAAAGAGAAAGCAACAATTCAAAACCCTCAAAACATCATAGCCCTCTGATTCAAATGTATTTTTAATTTATCCATTATTTTATTAATCTATTTATTAAAAAACATCCTTTAAAAGTTTACAAATCTATACATTCAAATGGAAACATCCAAATTAGAAATCCTCCTTGATTCGATCTAAACTAATTATCTTACTTGTTAAGCAGCTCTTTATTTATGGGAGGCAGTCTTGTTGTTGATATGGGTGGGAATGATCATTGTCTTAATACATCAGTCTCATTCAAAATGTGCAAATAACCAGATCTGGAAGACAAAAAAATGATATATTGGTTAGTGATTGATTAAAGCTTTAAATTAATATATATATGAACTTTCTAGCCACAACTTTTTTAGGTTTTTGACTCTTTCTGCTTTTGGTTTTGTTTACATGCTTTTAATTTTCATGAAAACATACATATCCATCCCCACCAAGAGCAACGACAAAGCAATAATCTATTCTGTTACATTCCAGTGAAGTAGCAAAGCTGTACACAGAGATCAATAACAATGCTTGTTAAGGGCAATCTCAACAATATATTAACTGATCTACTCTTATCTATTGACTGCATTGATATTTATTTATGATGTATGTTTTTTACTATTTAAATAGCACAATGGTATTTTTAAAATTGAGTTACTGCCCAATAGGTTATATTTAGGACATGGTTACCTCTGGACGTACCTAGTCCTAATGGCTGTAATAATGAATAGCAGTAGTAAACAAACCCAAGATGTTGGCAAAGAAGATCAGAAGTGATATATTTTGAGAAGATGCTCTCTCTAAGAAATGGTAATTTGTCCTCTAATGAACATTTTATGAGGTGGAGTCTCATCACTTAGCAGACTTTGAGGCCATGATAGCCTTCCTAATTACTCTGTTAATGGTGGCAGCATAATGGAGATGGTGCTTATAGGCACAAGCAAAGTCAGAAGATAATTACTCTAGTTCTTGAGTAGGGTGAAAAAAAATGATCTCAGAAATACCCTGTGACAAGCTCCACATTGCAGCAAGTCTTGAAAAATAAACTAGGATCATTAGCTGTTTTTAGCAGTCTGTTATTATACTAGCTTTTTGTTTCCAACAAAGCAGGTCAAATTATCACAGTAGTGCGCACGTTCTCAAATCCCCTCTGTGAGATATTTCAGAATGAATGGATATCCAGAAAGAAAGAAATATATTTACTAGAATATAGGTGTGTCTAGTATATAAAATGTCTACCTTGCCCAAACTGAAAAATGTGGGTAGATAGAGATCCACATTTTGGAACAATTTCTCTTTTTCAAAATATAACACATCATAGGGCTATTTTTCAAAGGACTTTTTCCAATGCAGTTAGTATCTTATACTAATAGACTATAAGCTACCTAAATTAAGACAGACTGGGTTGCAAAGGAACTTAGAGTGGAGTTTTTAGATTTCTTGCTCATTGATGGCCAACCTAAAATCAAGATCATGTCAAACTGGAAAATATCAAGAATATCAGGGAAAATGTAGATAAGGGATAGTAGGATAGATGACATGCTCTGATTTTCCAAACTGAAAAAAAAAGTATCTGGATAAAATATTTTAAAAACGCATTTTTATTTTTTTAAATTTTTTTTTAAAGATTTTATTTATTTATTTGAGAGAGAGAGAATGAGAGACAGAGAGCATGAGAGGGAGGAGGGACAGAGGGAGAAGCAGACTCCCCGCCGAGCAGGGAGCCCGATGTGGGACCCAATCCTGGGACTCCAGGATCATGACCCGAGCCGAAGGTAGTCGCTTAACCAACTGAGCCACCCAGGCGCCCTAAAAACACATTTTTAAAAACAAATCTGTGAGCTAATAAATAAAATGAAGGAATCTGCAAATCCTCCAAAGAAAGTAGAATGAGGAACACTCAAATAAGGGAGCTTTAAAGTCAGCCCTCTTCCTGCAGGATTCTTCCAAACCTTCAGATCTGGCACCCCTGCTTTGAGAGCCCTAGGGATGTTAGAAGTAAGACCTAGCTAGGCTCTTCCCAGTCTGGGTAGTTGAGAGGAGGCACATGAATACAATTAGGGAACCAAAGAGCTATAGAT